GGTGGACATTGGAGGCTTCCCCCCAACCCTCGATGAGGTCCACGATGTCCGCACTAGACCACGCGGGCGCCTGCCTCTTGTGGCCCCGGGCAGGCTCCTGGGAGCCGCCAGGCTGGTCCCGGGAAGAGGGGAAGAGGTGGGGGGCATCGGGTCGCTGGCTCATGGGCTGTCAGCTGCTGAGTGTGCTGGCACAGGTGCTGGCAGCCTTGCAACTGGCACAAACCCCGTAGCCAGCCCGTGCCCCTTTAAGGGTTCCGGGGCCAGGAGGCAGTAGAGTTTCCCTGGTGTTGGCCAGAGTGGCCACCAGGGAAAGCTGGGAAGGGCCAGCCTCCCACTAGTTCGAATTAAGGGACTATACAGCCTCGTGGAATGAGGTTTACCTAGTTCGAACTAAGCGCTCCGTTAGTTCGAATTAAATTTGAACTAACGGAGCGCTAGTGTAGCGCCTATGAAAGTTAGTTCGAACTAACGTCCATTAGTTCAAACTAACTTTGTAGTGTAGACATACCCTAGGTTAGCAAGCCTGCCTGCGAAGATGCTCTGCCCTCTCTTTTTTATGTGGATCCCATCTCTTTCCTAACAATCCTTCTTCATGGAACAACATCCCCTGATCAAAGAATCCGAAGCCCTCTCTCTGATACCATCTCCACAAAAACGCATTTACCTCCATAATTTGACAGTCCTCTGTGGACCTTTTCCCTCAACAGGGAAGATGGATGAGAACACAACTTGCGTCTCATAAACTCCCTTATCCTTCTTTCTAGAGCCACATAGTTTGCAGTGACCCACTCAAGGTCTTTCTTAGCAGTATAACTGGTACCCACATGGAAAAGTAGGAAAGGGTAACAGTCCAAGGGCTTGATCAGTCTCAGCAGATACTCCGTCACATCCTGAATCCTAGCTCCAGGCAAACAGCAGACTTCTTGAGTTTCCTGGTACAGACGGCAGATAGATAATTCCGTACCCATTAGGAGGGAATCTCTGACCACCACCATGCATCTCTTCCTCTTGGGAGTGGTAATAATCCTGATCCTCTGAGGGGGCAAGGGGTTAAAATGTATAGAATTTCTATAAAAAAATACTGGTCCTGGCTGCTGTTTGACCTTACACCCTTTAAAGGAATGGGATATTTGCAATTGACTACAATGGGAGCAGGATCAAACCCTTTGAATATTAACTCTCCTAAACCACAGTGTTCAGTCCTGTAGTGGAATTCTCTTTTTATGAGTAACATAAAAACCAAACTGTGCTTGTGTTTGACCCTACAATAACAAGCTGCAGAACTTGGAGGTAGAGAAGTGGGGGAGTATCTGTGTTTTCTGTCTGTTTCCCCATAGCTTCAGGGACATATCTAAATATAATACATATATGCACATAACCCTTTGTTGTTTGGCCACTAGAAGAGCAAGACACTTAGGCCAAATTGCTGGATATCCAGCTTTTTGGTTTTGAAATATTTTATTGATATTGACTTTAGATCTTGCCTAATTTACTTTAATTTGAGCAGGACCTGTACAGAAACCTGTTGCCTAGGTAACAAATGCTATACACCATAATAAGGCAAATTGCTGTTGAAATAAATAGTAATTACAGTTCTGGCTTTAGAAGTATTATCTTTCCCTTCATTTTAAATCATCTCCGATAAGATTCTAAATGCAAGCTTTGTTCACTCCATGGAAGATGGGGGTGGGGAAAACTTATTTCCCTTTGCTTCCTCCTTCTGCCCAGCTCTAGTTGTATAAAATAGACATTTTTAAAACAATATTTATTTTCTCAAAGGTGCATCACTACAACCCATAAAACAGACAGTCGGAAGGAGCAGGTATTGAAATTATTCCTGTTTAATTTCACTTAAAAGAGCTGATTACAGAAAAACATCTTTAAATACAAATACATTCATACTTGACTTACCCCAGATTGTTCTCTCTCTTTTCCATGAAACCTACAGTCTTGTCCAGACAAGTGACCTTACATACCATGTTTATCAGAGATGGAATCTCTTCAGCATATATGGCTTTCCATGTATTTCTTCAATGATTTGCAGACAAGTTTGAGCTTGAAAGAAGGCAAGGAATACATAGCAATGTGATAGCAAATGCTTTTATATTCATTTAGAAATAATTGCACTGGAAAAGCAAATAAGGGAAGAGAATTTGGGTGAGTACATTCCCTTTGGAAACCTATGTCTAATTCTTAGCTCAAAACTGAAAAGTGTGAGCTCATCTCTTCCAATCCCAACATCACAAAGTTACCATTAGTACAGCTGACATTCTCGGCTGAGCAAGTGCCATGAACCAAGCACTGGAATAGCAAAGAGTTGAAATGGCAGAGCTGTGTGGAGAAGCACTGATTTTAATGAATGATAGTTCACTGACATTTTATAACTATGTAAATTACAAGTGTTTGGGACAGTGTGGCTGATCTATAAAATTGCCCCATTCTAAGTCCCAGGTTCAGTCTCTATCAGCATATCTGTAGAGCCCAAAAGGCAGTGGAAAGTTTGGCCTATTGTATGAGGAATAAGCTACCAAGAGGTCACACAAAGGGCTCTGCATCCTGAAAACTATCTGAATTCCAACTGAGGGGCAGACAAACTCCGAACTGGTTGAAAGTTCTGCTTAAAATTCACCATTTAAGTACAGGCAGTCCCCGGGTTACGTACAAGATAGGGACTGTAGGTTTGTTCTTAAGTTGAATCTGTATGTAAGTTGGAACTGGCGTCCAGATTCAGCCGCTGCTGCAACTGACTGCCAGTTCTGACTTACATACAGAATCAACTTAAGAACCCCAAGCGTCCCCAAGTCAGCTGCTGCTGAAACTGATCAGCAGCTGATTCCAGGAAGCCCGGGGCAGAGCAACTCTGCCTCGGGCTTCTTGTAGTCAGTGCTGGTCAGTTTCAGCAGCGGCTAAATCAGGACGCCCGGGGCAGAGCAGCTGGGGTGCTGCTGGGTTGCTCCAGTAGCGCCGCTCCTCAGCACTACTGGACCACCCCAGCAGCCCCCCATCTGCTCTGCCCCAGGCATCCTGATTCAGCTGCTGCTGAAACTGACCAGCAGCGGCTGAATCAGGACCAGAGCAGCTGGGGTGCTGCTGGGTTGGACCAGTAGCGCCCAGAGCCTACCATGAAGATTTCATGTGTGCAGAAAGCTGTCACATCACAACTTTCATTACACTATGTGTTTTCTGGAAGGGTATGTCTACACTACAGCGTTATTTCAAAATAGCTTATTTCAAAATAGTTATTTTTAAATAGCTTATTTTGAAATAACGCATCTAGACACAAAATGCATTTCGAAATAGCATTTTGCTATTTTGAAATAGTGTGTCCACACTGATAGGACGTTGAATCGCATTTAAGGCTGGCCGGAACCGGTTCTGGCAGGGCATCATGTCAGGAGTTAGCCTTAGGCAGCAGCCACACAAGGGATCTGTGACCTGTGCTTAAAGGGACTCCCCCTGGACAGCCGATTATAAGGTTTCTCTGCTTTCTTGCCTACCTCGCTGAGGGGATAACACTTCATGCATGGTATATTTCATTATTTCCTTGTAAACTAAATTATTAATTATATTAATTATTAGTAGTATTTATTTCAGTAGTGCCTACTGGCTTCTATTAGGACTTTGATGTCATCGTACTAAGTGCTGTGCACACACAACACATAAAGAGACAATAAGCACTTTGTCATGGAAACTAGCTTAGTAACTCATATACCTACACTGCATTGTACACCTGGTTCTGTGTGATCCAGATTTGTGTACTATGTGTTGTCAGGTCTCAGCAGAGTTAACATGTCCATACTACACTACTCAGTCCCTCTGACTAGGTCTGTGGGCTGATCTGCATCCACACTGCAAAAATGATCAGGCTTAGACGGGGGGGAATGGGGTGGAAGGGGAAGGAGAAGCTCAGGGTTGGGGGTATCACCGACCCAACTGTCTCCCAGCACTGTGGGTGCGGGAGCCTCGGCATCCCTGGGGGTGTGAGAAGGAAGAAGCAGGAGCGGGAGAAGGAGTGGGAGGAGGAGCAGTAGCTGGGGAGGCAGTAGGGGCTGGAGCGCAGGAGGCAGCAAGCTCTGCGCCAGGGTTGATGACCACCTGTGGGGTACAGACTATGCTGCCCCCCAGGATGCAGTCCACAGCATCAAAATAGGGGCAGGGGTCTGAGTCTGTCCCTGGTTGGGAGCTGCCCCCTGTGGTCCTAGCAAACGCCTGCCGCAGCTCCTTTATTTTCATGCGAACCTGCTCCTGGGTTCACATGTAGCCTTTGGTGGCCAGGCTGGCAGGCAACAGCCCTTGGAGCATTCCTGCACCTAGTGTGGAGATCATGGGCATTTGAGACCTCCCCCCAAATCTCAATGAGGCCCATGATCTCGGCATTTGACCAGGAGGACTCCTGGGAGCCGCTGGCCTGGTCCTGGGGAGCGGCAGAGGGCTGGCTGGCACTGGCTGCCTGGCTCATGCTGGGGCCACTGGGTCAGGAGCAGCGACTGCTGGATCTGGGCTGGCAGGCTTAGGTCTACCCCTTTAAGGACTCCGGGAGAGGGGGAGGAAGAGGAGTTTCCTTGGTTATGCCCAGAGTGGCAACCAGGGCACCCTGGGAAGGGCTGATGGCCCCCTATTTGGAAATAAGCATCTACACAATGCTTATTTCGAAATAGCAATTTGGAAATTTGCGCTATTCCTCATGGAATGAGGTTTACCAATATAAAGTCCATGCTCCTCTATCAAGATAAATTTGGCACTAGCAGTCCCAATATAAAGTCCAGGCACCTCTATCAGGGTAAATACAGCTTTGGAGCCCTGGCCGCCCAGAGAAGCCTTCTCAGCCAGCTGGGCCTGGGCTACCCCTGCCCTGCAGTGCGGGGCCTGTCCGCCCTGCCACAGGCTATGTCACAATAACTTTGCTGTGTGGACATACCCAGAGTAGATTAGAATCCAATTCAGTTTAACAAATGCACCTGCTGCCTTCCAGCGGGGTTTGCAGGAGTGCCCCTCAGAACTTAAGCGACGAGGAGTCCTGTGGCACCTTATAGACTAACTGATCAGTTAGTCTATAAGGTGCCACAGGACTCCTCGTCGCTTAAGTTCTGAGGGGCACTCCTGCAAACCCCGCTGGA